ATGTCCAGAGTGTGACATTGCTTGCGTTTTTGAATGAGCTAATATCAAGCTCAATAGTCTTGTCAGCTGGAGGCAAAGGCAGCTTCATCACTGGCTTTGTTATACTCAAATCATCGTTGGCGCAAGTCCCTGGGTCGGGGATGTCCCAAGCCTGTGATTTAGGGGCCTTTCTCTGATTTGCATTGTCGTAGTAGATTGCCGCGAGGGCGGCTGGGGCACGACCTAAACTACAGATGGCAGATATGTTGCTGCGCATCCAGTATGAGTCCAATTTGCCGTTAGCTCTGACCAGTACATCTGTGCGTTGGCCAACTCCCAGTGTTACAACTTTGGTATCATATGGCTGTACTGGAACAAAGTCATTCGCAATGACCTTCATTGTGTGACCATCAATAGAGAATCTTTGTATGGCTTCGGCACTTGGGTTGATGAGGCGTAAGCGGTGGACTTTACCGCGTTTAAAGCGAAATTTGGAGATACCAGCATTGCTTTTGCAGGGTGTCTTGTCTCCCGGTGCCACACTGGAGCAGTTGAAGTTCATCTTTCCGTTAATGAGATTGCTGTCAGAAAGAACAACTCCAATACCGCCGGGCTTCATTATCTCCTCAACAAGGTCAAAATACTCTTTATGGTACCAATCACTCAACATAACAGGCCCAATATCGATGTCGTAGTCTTTCTTTTCTCGTGGTCCATATATGACCAATGGACCAAATAAACCAGCAGCAACTTGGGCGGAATAATGAGAGTGGTACCAACTTGTTCCATACAGGTCGGCCAGAAATTGATACGTGAAGCTCTTTTTAGGTGGGATCGGGCATTGGGTTACACCCGGAACGCCATCTTCCCACGGCATTCCTTTCTGAAGGATACCATGCCAATGCAAAGAGACACCTTCATCGTCCAAGTCGTTATGAACAGTGACTTGGATGGTGTCACCCCAGTTTGCTTCAATCAGAGGCCCAGGAAATTGCCCGTTCACGAGGATTGTGGACAGCTCATAGCCGTCGGGGGCAATCGTCCCCCGACTGACCGTGAAGTCGTACCTCCTAATGACTCCAGTGTTTGGCTGGTCTTGATAGTAATTGGTTTGGGAATTCATGGTACTCCAAGGATAGCCATTAGGGGTAGGGTTGTCGGTGAGGAAAGTTGGCAGGTCAGGTGCATCAAACGTGCCATACGAGGACTCCCTTTTTAGATCAGTTCGTGTATACAGATGTTCGGAAGCATAGTGCCTTACCCATTAGTCTGCAACTGGGACAATTGTCCCAGGTCCCCAAGATTGAAAGGACTGCTGTTGGTATTGCCCATACTGCACAGCGGACTTAAGTCTCTATGGAGGTAGGATGCTGAGATATGCCATCTTCCCACAGGAACCAACACTGGTCTATATAGCCAAGAGGGGCGTGTTGATGAGCTCAGTTCATCGACAGCCACTTCAGAGTGAACTTCTATCTTAGGACAAGGCATGTGCCGAAGACCCGCGGGATCAAGCCTCATCTGCGAGAAACGGGCGATCGCATACGGGTCAACCTTGGCTCCTCTCGGTTATCATAGACTAAGCCTGCATGGCTGAGTCCCATGTCCATGAGAGTTGTTGTAGGTAGTCATGTTGAGGACTAGAGCTTGGTGAGAGAGGACCACATGGCGAGGCCTTACATACACCAGGACAGCTGCAAGCCATGATGACGGTCAGCACACCAAGAAGCGCAATTCGTAAAAGTAAATTGCCCTATCAGAGAGGAGACGTTAAGCTTCACCAGCCCATAATGTGAGGATGTTGTGGTAGGGATATTGGGGTGAGGCGGAATGGCCGCCGCTGTCTTAGTTGCCTCAGCCTTAGACAATGGATGCGGAAAATAGACACGAGATCTCCACTGCGTTGTACATCATCAAGATCCGTATCTCGACGTGCCGTGTTATGGTTAAGCATTTTTGATGATTTGCAACTGGGGTATACCCAGATCGAAGCCGGTCCCGCCCAACATATGCAACGATCCTAGACAGCTGAACGGGCGTTTCAGGCAGACCGTTTTTTCTGAGTAGTCAGGTACGTAAAAGAAACGCAGTGGGTCCAATTGAGCTCAAGAGGTAAGTAATTCGAACAGAAATACGAAAAGATTGTCCGCAAAAGTTGCTGATATTGGCGTTGGTACCAAGCAGTGATAAAGCTAGTGGCAGCTCGCGATACAAGCGTCAGAAAATACAGTTCAGGCATTGGTTGATGCCCTGAAGGCAACCGCCTCTCCAACTATTTCTGACTGGGTGTACAAGGACAGGCATCGATCGAGTAGATTTAACCTTGTCTTGAGTTGGCTCAGTCATAATTGGCGACTGCACGATGCAGCCCAACAATAGCAAGCTCCAACAATTCAAAAGCGTGTAAGCCGGGCGGTTCCTCATTTGGTAATTGGTGCCATAAAACCGCCAATTACGATCGGCCGATCAATAATCTCGTAATGTCGAGAGATAGTAATCCAGACATCAATGAGCCTAGCAAAGTCAGCATGTCAGCTTCAAAGGCATGTGATCATGCTTTCAGAATGGACCGCATAAAACGATTCAACTCGATGTAACAGCACAATCACTGACACACGCCCCAAGAAATATTCCGTCAGTGCACGATGTTGTTCAATATGCATAAGTTGTGAGACTTAGAGTTCGGTCTCAGCTGTCCTCTAAAAAGCAATTCCCTCAGCCCACTGGCCCAATCGCCAATAGCGAAGAAGCATGGCGCCAGTTGTGCAAAAGCAGGGTTGACGTCCTGCTGCATGTGCAAAAAAGAGGATGCGATAACAAGCTATTGAACGCCATTGACTAAATTGCATGAGCCAAAGCGGTTAGCTTATGGAAAGTTTGAGCGTCAAGAACTTCCAGCTGCTCGACAACATCGAGCGTGGTTGTTGTTGTCACCTCGTATCGGCAGCCGTGGGGTAGGCCAACATGCTGGGTCGCCTAGGGGTAGTGGTGTGCCGATCATGTCTGTAAGGAAATGTAACCTGGACGGTTAAGGGCTTATAACGCCACAGCTCTCTCGCCGCCTCTCAAAGATTGTTGTGTAATCTTCAGATGCAGTCACATATAATCGGGTCACTTGAACCCGGAAAACGCAGCGGTCTGCAAGGTCTGACAGCATAACAAAAAACCCTCGCATCGTGAGACTAACAGACATCTCTGACTGGTCTGATGCACTGTATCGATGGTGGGCCTGAGACTTGACAATAGATTGGTCCATTTCGAAATAATTTTGATATGTATTTTACAGATTGCGGCCATCAGAGGCCAGACTGTACAGGGTGGAAGTCGAAGTCGACTGGGTATTGCTCTCGTCTCGTATGATATGATGCTCTTATGATTTCCTCCACGCGGGGTTGGCCATCAACATTATAGGCCGACGTTGAGCTCGCATGTACAGTTCGTGAAGTTTGGGGTCGGCATCGGATCGAATGACGCTACCAATGGACATGAAGAAGCTATAGGGCCATGGTCAGCACTCGTGTAAGTCGTTGGTGTCTGTGTCAGAAATACCCAAAAGTTGCTCCGGAGCCAAGCATGTATTGACCGAGGGTTCTCATAATGCCGTTAGGGCCGGCTCCGTATCGGAAAATGTTGACAGTTCCTGGTCATCATTAGTTATGACCTCAGAGCTGAGACAGCGCACCCAGTTGCAGACGAACCAAACACAAACCCCATGATGACACCAACAGCTATGCCATGTCAGTATTTTTCAAAGCGAACAAGAGCTCAGCAAGGAGTAGGTCGTACTTCCGCCCATCATGGCACCCATCTTGACTGCGAACTTGTTAGCCAGCACCCAATGCCATGAGAATGATATCAGCCTACGTTTATCCACGTTGGAGGGGCCATGCTGGCCAGCATTGATAGGAGCGACAGGAGGCATTGCGAGCGTGGTAGGCCTCTATACAATATTTTGGAGTTACTGCGTGTGCTGAATTATCGATCGTGGCCGGCGAAGTTTGTTGAAATGGTACAGCGCAAAGTAGAGCAATTGCTGATGAAGCTCTCTTCATACGACGACTTTCCTCGAACCCGAATGACCTCTCGAGGCTTACTCTCATTGGCTAAATGGCTAAAGTGGAATCAGGGTTCGGAGAAAGGTCGGTGCGGGACTCGGTGCACGGATCATGCTCCTGTACAGTGCGGGACAAAAAGGTGACATATCTTTACTGTGAAGAACGCATCACGTGGTCCATCTCGTGGGTCAAGATATGGCTCCACAAGGCGGTTCCGACTCGCAAGAGGGATTTGATGGTTTGTGGTTTTTTCAGGCAATTCTCTTTCACTTACAAGACAATCTCTGACGCTCAAGCCTTTGTTTCTTGTAGTGCTGGGGTTATGCAAGCAGTGAGCACATGCCAGAGTCTTTGGGCGTGTGCTCCACTGTGCTCTGTACTCCGTGTGCCTGAGCTGAGAGTTGTCGACCGGGGGCTCCAAATTTGAACACGCCAACACGCCAAGCAGCGCTTAGCGAGCGAGACCTCCCCCATACTGTCACTGTTACGGCAACCTCTCATCAACTCATTCACGGCCCTGAAGCCTTCTAAACTATCGTCTCTTGCGACGCGAAACCCTATTCCGACATCGCGATATCCTCGTGCTTGGTGAGTGAAGCACCCATCTTGGCTGTCGCTGGCCCGACTCGCCTCTTGACCTCCTGTCCCTGGTCCGACGGGGTCATCGCCGATCGTCTCAATTCTTCATTACCAAAACCTGTTCCCAGCCACGAGCTCATGATTTTTCTTGTCCACCAGTAACGTCAAGCCACCTTGAAGTATTCAAATTTCAATCGCATTTCATCAATACTGCAACGTTTTTCTTCGAGCCCGCCATCATAAGTCCATTCAACCTCCGACTTGCCGGTGGAGTGACATCAGCCCCGTATGCGCGCGAGCCGCACACGTCTTACTTCCACATCCGGCATCTTTATATCTTCGACGCTGCGTTTATCGGCCGCAACACGCTGAGCATCGATCATCCTCATGACTGCAGTCGCAAATCCACAAACCTTCTCCGCGTCAAGACCAGCATGGGGTCCGATTAACGGGAACCATCAAATGAATTCGGAAGAAGGTCGAGGTGGCATTGGCATGTTCGCGCCCCGCAAGACCCTTACTCGATCCAACTCATCGTCATCTGTTTCTTCGACGTCTTCGAACTCTTCTGCTACCACAGTTGCCTCGAACGGTTCCCACGCTAATGGCGGCACTCCATTGTCTTCAACTTCAGATTTGACCCAATGGTCGGCTAACGGCGCACCTCGAAAACGGCCCCAACCGAAAGCCCCCTGGCCGCCAGGAAAAGGGGAATTTCAACAACAGGACATGTCTAGACTGCCCGCTGGCAGAGGTCAAGGCATGATTACGGCCCATGGGCCTGTACAGGCCGGCCCTGGCCAGGTTCAGATGACGTCTCAAGGAATGATGCGGCCCATGAGTGCCGAACAAGTTCCTCCTGGCCAACCGGTTCTATATCTATTATCACTCAACGGTACCTTTGAACGGAAAACAATCGCTGTGCCTTTTGCCCCCGAAAGCCTCCGTATAGGCCGACAAACCAACCAAAAGACCATCCCGACCCCAACCAACGGTTTCTTCGACAGTAAAGTGCTGTCCAGACAACACGCTGAAATTTACGCGGAACGCAATGGCAAAATTTATATACGAGATGTTAAGTCCTCGAACGGAACCTTTGTCAACGGTACTCGTCTATCACAGGAAAATCGCGAATCCGAGCCGCATGAACTGCAGACTTCCGATCATCTTGAGCTTGGCATCGACATTGTCAGCGAAGATCAGAAAACCGTCGTCCACCACAAGGTGGCTGCCAAGGTTGAGCATGCAGGCTTTCTTAGCGCGTCGAGCAATGTCATGGATATGAACTTCGGCGACCTCGACCCAGCTAATGGCGCTATGATGATGCCTTCAGGCCCCATGCAGCTGCGAGGCCGCACTAACAGTAATGCGTCTATGGCCAGCAACGGTCGGATGATGCCCAACGGCGCTGGTGTTGTGAACATGCAAGTCAACGGAATGGCACAACAAAGGCCTTTCTTTCTTACCCCTGTTGCTACTGATCAAATATTAAAACGGCTTGCGGTACGTCATACTCGAATCCGTTGTGATGATTGAGCTAATTCTTTCAGAACGAAATGCGCAATGCTCGACTTCAAGCACAGGATCTGGGCCGCACTAATCAGTTCGTCCACACACTGTTGTCCAAAGACGACCTCAAGGACCTCGAAAAGCCCGAAGGCCTTGAACCCCCTAAACCTCAATCCATGGTAAATGGGATGGGGACGCCATTCCGTGCCGACCCCAAAGCACGGTTCTCTGATCCTCCTGCCCCCCCTCCTCAGCAGCCTCTTCCCGAGAAGCCTGACGTGCCTTCACTTAAGCGTGGCCCAACTGAGCGACCGAAGTCTGGTCCTCCTAACTCACCTGTCCGGCCTGATAATCTCAGCCAGATTGTTCAACTTACCGAGGCTCTCAACAACGCTAAGCGAGATATCGACTCACAAACAGCACGGATGCGAGAATTGGAAGAAATGCTACAGAAGGAGAGGAGTGCACGAGAGGAAGCAGAAGAGCTCGCCAAGCGATTGGAAGAGTCCGCGACCGTACATATGAATGGGTCAGCTGTATCTGGAAGCGCGGCTTCGGAAGAGGTGTCTGAAGCCACAGAAGACAAGGCTGTCCCTGAAGCCCCTGAAGCAAATGCTGATGATGAGGCCCCTGCTGTCCCTGCTGTCGATGCTGCACAAGAGACAGCTGCTGCTCTTCAAAGTCGAATTGACATTGTGGAGAGTCAGATGCGGGATATGAAGGAGCAGATGGAAGAGTGGAAGCAACGTTGTGAGACTGTAGAGTCAGAGAGAGATGCTGACAGGAAGACGCTCGCCGAGATGGTCGTTCAGCTCCGCGCCGAGGAAGCACTTCGAGAAGCGGCTGAGAAGAAAGCTCGATCGAGGTCGAGGAAGCGAGACGCTGATGCCGATGGTGCTGTCGTTGGTGAGACTAACGCTGATTCTGAGGTTCCTAAAAGCGCCACTGGAGAAGCAGAGGTCGCTACTGCTGATGAAGCTTTGGACGCACCGACTTTGTCTCGGGCCAGCACGATCACACCAGCAACCCAAAAGGGTGGCGTGCGTGGGCAGGACCAGCGCCTCCAAGCCGCACTGCCTTATGCCTCAATGCTTGGCGTTGTACTATTTGGCATGGGGTTGATGGCATATATCAATGGATGGCAGGCCGAGCCGCCCCGTCCTGAGCAATGAACTGTGGGAGTACAAAGTGGATGAACAGCATGAGGAGGAAGCTCGGGGGATAAAATGATGGGGCAGTTGTAAAAAGGGGATCACGACATTATCATATCTTCTCCGTCTTTGGGGGATTGTAACTTTTCATGAGCGGTATTCATAATGCATGATGCGGCCTGTCGATTTGGCCCATCAATGATGAGACGATACGAGACCAGACATGGACATAACCGAACCGAAACACATTTCATTTGTCACTCGCCCGTATTATATATCAACTTCTTTTGTACCAACGGCTAGGACATAACAACAACATGGCATATGAGGCCCTTGGAAAGGGTAAAAAGCCTGGTTTGAGTCAGGCTTGAGGATACGGCGTTATCATTTTGTTCCTTTTGTGTATTCTTTACTTTCTCATGGGGTTTGCATCTTTAGGAATAGCGCATGTTGAAGCGAGCAGTGGGCTGCTGACACTACAAGTCATTTTGCATATTTATTAATTTACTTGCCTGAATAGCTGGTCTAATAAGTCTGATGAGTTCTAGAACATGTGTTTGAGAGGCTGAAGGTATCTGCGTCATAGGAATGAGGGCGCATATTGGCAACTAATGAGGACTGGCTCATATGTTGCTCAGCATAACTCAGACCAACACAAACACAAAAACAGAGTCAAACACGTCATAATACATTGCCAAATGCTTCCTTCAGACCTCGAGGTAAGTCGTTGACCCCGAACTTCGCACTCGGTTTGATCCTTCTGAGCGGCGACGCTCCACTGCATTCCCGGCGCTAACCACTTTTCGTATTCAAGTCTTGATGTTATTGGATATGGTGTACTTGAAGCTAGCGAGACAATATCAGAGCCCATGGACGAAGGAGTCCAAAGCAGTATAAAAGAACGATGTCCAGGCAATGTCAAGTCGTAGAGTCATCTCTTCTATAAAGCCATCAACAATGGTCTCTTTCTCTCAAGTGCAGCAAACCAACGCCTCGGCTGCTTCAAAGCTTCCAGCCGGTCTCGTCGCCGTCTTCGCTGGTGCCACAACAGGTATTGGCGAGACAGCCCTCAAAGCATTTACCAGATACACTACACGGCCCAAGATCTATTACATCGGCCGCTCTCAAGAAGCGGGTTATAGACTACAAAATGAGTTGAAGGAGTTGAACCCCGAAGGAGAATATGTCTTCATCAAGAAGGACATGAGCTTGTTGAAGAATGTGGATGAGGTTTGTCAGGATATCAAAAGCAAGGAAACAGTCTTGAATGTTTTGTTCTTGAGTCAGGGGACACTCAGAATCGGTGTTAGCAGGTCTTCCATTGTCATCTGAATATTCTTCTCCGCATACTAACAGACTCAGATACCGAAGAAGGACTGCCTCTAGTCACCGGCCTAGCTATCTACTCTCGCAACCGTCTCGCAGTCAATCTCCTCCCATTGCTGAAGAACGCCCCGTCTCTTCGTCGTGTAATAAGCGTCATGGCTGGTACACACGAAGGCAAGCTCTTCTCTGATGATATAGCAGCTCGCAACATCCCCTTCACTAGCATTCACCGCTCCCGAGGCCACATGTGCTCAGCCCTCACTCTCTCCCTGGAAGCACTGGCTCGTCAAGCACCAGAAGTTTCCTTCATTCAAAACTTTCCTGGCTCTGTTGATACAAACCTAATCCGCAGCGGAGACGGCTTCATGATGCAGCTTGTGAAGTATTGGTTCAAGGTCAGCATGACTGTCAGGAGACAGTGGTTACCTAAAGAGGAGTGTGGAGAGAGACATGCGTGGTTGTGTTTGACTGGGAGATATCCTGATAAAGAGGGTAGTGAGAATGGTATCAAAGAAGAAGAAGTTTCTGTTGGTACTAATGGGAAAAAGGGAAGTGGTGTTTATAGTGTTGATTGGGATGGTGAGAGTGCTTCGGGTGAAGTTGTCAAGCTGCTTGATGGATTCAAGGAGGAAGGCCTTGTGGAAAAGGTCTGGAGAGACCAGGAGAAAGAATTTGTCAGAATTACTAGTACAACTTCTATCTAGGCTATCAAATATGGGTTAATTGTTGTTAGTGTAGGATCTTCTTGAGTTAACGAGTTATATTTTGTCAATTGACCTCGGCAGTGCTCAAGATGACAATATAAAACTCACCAATAAATAGCTGACAATGACTTCTCAGGAATTAACCTTGGCTGACAAGGATTACTTACTATTATTATGCCGGCATCACTATTTAAGCTTTGATATCAATGCACAGGCTAGGCCCGACACTTCGGCTTCATCGGGAGTCAAAATCATAAGACAACGAGACCCATTCCAGATGCCACTCTCTCGGGGTCGTTAAGCACCGACTCTCCGAGATCTGCCGCGTTGAATTAAGATACACTATCTATTTGCTGGCTCAGATAACGGATGATGCTGAGACTTGGGGGCTGTGCTGATATGACAGTAGCATGATGATGGTGGTTGTGGTGACAGACACGCGTCGCTCTAATGGATTATGGTGCACACGACTAAGTTAGTTAGGGGACTGGGCGCTAATGATGCACAACTCCAAGTGATTCAGGAGACATGATAACAGATTCTTTTCATGTTCTTTGTTGCTATCAATAGATATGTATCTCTTACAGATATGGAATGAATGGAGACATCGTCTGTACTGTACTGTATGTAGCTACACTTCATTCTGATCGTTATCGTTAGTGCTGCTCTCACTCCCAAACGCCCTTGCAAGGCCTGCAGATATTGTGTTTGCCATCATGCTCGCTATTAAATCACCATCACCACCACCACCAAGCTCACACACCCCCACTATGATGCCGTCTCGATAGATGATCCCTTTCTCTTAATCTCTTTTTCAGGATCAACTCCGAGTTCCCATTCTTCTCTCTCACGCTTCATGTCTCTCTTGCACCATTTAATAGTGATAAAACCCCAAACAGCGGCCCACAAGAATGGAACTGCCCATGCAACACCATAGGCACCGGTTGCCGGAACTTGTGGAATGACGGATATGACGGTAAGAGGGACGGCGAGTACTAGCGCCGGGATGGACCAGAACCAGGATTGCTTGTAGACCATCTCTCGGAAACGTGGGCTAGCTTTGTATCGAGCTGCTAATGCTTCCCGATATGGCCGGCCACCAAGGGCATTAACCGCGATAACATCCTCGATGAAGTAGTAGGCACCTGGCAAGACCTGCATACATAGAATTAGCACATGACAAACTGATAGTTTGTTATTTTTCAACAAACGTACCTTTTCTCCCTTTGCAGTCGAGCTGATGCGGAAAGGAGCTGGCCAGTTCATCTGGTGGTAGAGCGTAATGAGAAACAGAACACCACCATAGCAGTAAAGAATAGCTGGCGCAGGCATGCACAGCACTCTCAACCAAACATTGTGAGGGGCACTGCCAATGATGAACAGAGCAGTAACCACAAAAATAGTAAGGGTGGAAGAGTACGTCAGCATATCAAAGCACCATCGGTGATTCGTCCCCAGCGGTCGGTAGAACCTATCCACCTTGATCAATCGGAGGGTGCGGATGGCGAATTCCAAGTACGTGGGACCACCCCAGATTGTCGTGACTACCGCAAAGATGATCCATCCTTCAACGTCCCCTGCATATTTGAGTCCATAGTATAGAGCTATCGGAACCGCGGATGCGTCGACAAAGACCAGGAATGCGAAGATGAAGAGTCGCCAGCGCTTCCAGCCGTGATGCCATGTAAACGGGAGCTGTGGCAGCAGATGGGGGTTTTCGTCGTAATACTCTAGTAATGTTGTAGCTCGTCGTCGATATTCTTTTCGGGTAGCAGCTCGAGAATCGTAGTATGCTTCTGCTTGGGGTCGCTGAGCATAGGATAAGCTTCGTCGCGCATCTGAACTCCTTCTAGGAGCGTCCGGATTCCGTCGAGCGCCCTCAGATGTCCGTCGAGGTAGTTCAGCCAACGCTGAGTCCAGCGGCTCTCGAGGTGAAACTGGCGAAGCTGCTTCCTCTGGAAGGTTGAATCGTACACCATTTGTCGAGGATTGGTGAGACTGCGAAGGACGAGAGATCTCGGGGGCTTCAGGGACATCTGTCGACGAGAGGGCCGAGTCGGACACTGGCGCAAGGCTGCCCCTACGCACCTCAGGCATTGTTGTATAGTGATGTGGTGTTTTGCCGTGGGTGGTGTTGGTGATGATGGCAGTGATGAGAAGAGCAAGACGAAATGGCCAAGTCGAGAATGGGGTGAGGTAAACTGGAGATGAAGCTAGACCAGACCAGATATGTAACTTGGTTCTAAGGAGAAAATGGAAAAATGTGTGGAGGATCGATCGTAAGGAGAAAAGGGCCCATTTCAGTGGCAAAGTTTAGTTTTTAAAGCTAATCAATCGTGTGAGGCGGGCGGGTTGCCATGATACTTATTAAGGTAGCATAGCATGACCCTGATGAGACGGACCCAGACGGCGTCGGGCCCCAGCGATAAAAAGGGTCTGACGTGCGCGTGCAACGATACAGCAGCTAACAACTAGAGAACCAGCTATTATCATCCATCAGGGGCCATTTAATGCGGTGTAACCGCTAACAATTACAGCGGCTTACAGCGGCTTACAGCTGTGATTTGCGAATGACGTCCTTACGCCGTCGGACTTTTTTCCCCTGTCCTGTGGCCAAGGAAACCAACCACAGCCAGGAATTCTGTCAGTGCCCGCCAAGCGACGTCATTGTCGGGATGTATGTGGGGCCGTCCCCGGCAATGAAGTCACCGATCGTCCCGCTTACATACAGATACATACAGCACATTCGTCCATGGAATTGGGTGGGATGACATGATCCTCCATGGCCCAAATTTAGAGCCAAGAAGAGGGATTTGTCTTGTGAGGCACATAAGGAAGGTAAGCTTAACAAATATGTTTAAATTTATTCCTGTCCGCATGCATCTCATCTCGGACTCCATCACATAACCGGATCAGGAAGACTAGGTATTCTTACCATAAATACATCCTAAGGTATACTTAGATTTGACAAATATTTTCACTAAGAATGTGATGAATTTATGCTATCATAAGTCTACCTTTCTTGCATACGGACCTATACAAGAGGGTATATATCTCAAACATGATCCCCCCATCGAGATCTACTTACCCCTGACCATTCATTACATCAGACACTCGACTCATTCGATTCATTCTTGAAAAGCGCCTTGTACTTTCCTGGCTTAACGTTGGATCCCCTACCCTGAGCAAAACAGTTGTCCGTCTCAGGCCACTCATTCGGGCGAAGATAATAAGGATCTCTTTTCTTCATCGACAACATCCCGATAAAGTCGAATGGATCTGCGATAAACATGACCCAGTGTCGTTTATGAATCCATCCAGGTCCCATGCGTTCTGTCTTGCCGTCGAAGTCAAGGTATTGACGTTGGTCGTGAGGTAGATATCGTCCTGGGTGGATGACATTGAGCCAGTACGTATAAAGGGCGACAGGAATGGCTTCCAGGACATAAAAAGGCCATTCACGCTTCATAAGCGCGTTGCTGTTGTCTTGTCCGCTGGAGAGAATATCCCTGAGCTCAAACGTCTCTACGGCGCGGAAGACGCAGCGGATGAGGATGAGCATCGACGTGCCGTAGAGCATGATGAACAGAGTTCGTACGTTTGAAGGCAACATGTTGGCCCTGGAGCATCGCCTGTGAAGAACCCCAACCATGGCAATGAAGCCAATCTCGATTGTCCCCTGGAGAATAACCGCGATGGCCATCAGGGTTGCACCAGATTTCAGTCGATCCGCGTCCTGTCGACCATTACCAGCTGCTATCCATGAGGCACCGATGGCAGTCAAAATCTCAACAAGAGAACCCAACAAGACAAATATGTACACGATTCGGTTCGGGTTGATGATGGAGTGCATTGGTAGATAGTGCATCAGACGACCAAGAGTGTTGTATTCGGCAGCTGAGTATACCGGGGGGGCGAGGTAGATGAAGATGCTCGAGATCATGTACAAGGGAAGACTGTCGGGCTTTCGTACTGAGATGGCTCTCACTACCCATCCGATGCAGAAGAATAAACCGGCGTAAAACATGAAGAAGGTAACTCGCCAGAACTTGTATCGACTAGCTCGGCTCAGCATGTGTGTGGCTCGTCCATCCTAGACGACGACTTACGTGTTCTGGATATAATGTCCTATGAGTGATATCCCTATTATCACCGAAGCAATAATGGGGAGGACTTTGTTGGCATCGTAGCCATAGAGATTGTCTTTTGTCGGATTTGCCATGTTATATGCAAGTCGTATAAGTCAACAGTGTTTTATAAGCTACTAGCTTTGGCTTAAAGAAAGAAAGTTCACTTCCTTCCAAGATGAACAACATCGTCTTTATATAAACTTGCTTAGCCATCAACTGTCTCCGTCATTGCCTCTATCTATCTCTTGGTCTGCCCTGCATCTCGTCCATCTGTAACAAGGCGCAGCCATAGCCGTCGGGTGTAAGCTAGCAGCCCTACACTAGGTACAGAATACAGATACATACAGCGCTGGGTAGCGACAGATTGAGTTAGAATAGGCGATTGTGCCTGTCGATGTGGACCCTTGGCAACTTAGCATTTTCTGCTTATTGGTCCGACTCTTCTACCTAAATCCATCGATCCTTTACGGGCTGAATCTCTGGTGTTTGTCTATTCCCTGCTGTTGTTGATCTATAGCGGCAGGTTAGTACTGCTTCAGGTCTAGTTCTGGCTGTGTTGGCTCTATTTAGGTAGATGTAGCGCTCTGGGCGAGGTGTTGAATGACGATTTGAGAATGATCTCGGATATCTCGCACGTGTCATTCAAGGTCGTATCTTTCGCAAAGGAGAAATAATTCAGGTTTAGCTATACACATTATGCATTCATCTAGCTCTTCTAATTGCAGAGTATTGCATATAACAAGGCGTACTGTATTGCCTCGACCTTGACCGTCTGAACTATTTACAACACCTACCTACCCCAGACCAATAAGTACCGGTAACCTCATAACCAGATAGCATAACAGCACCTCTACGTAAAGTAATAAAGAAAGATTGAATAAATCCACGGACAGACCTTGCTTGAATCTTTGCCCAACTAGATAAAAAGTAATGTTAAACAAAAGCTGTAAACGGCAAAAGAGAACTCCCCCGGGAAGGCTCGAACTTCCGATCTCCCGATTGTCTATGAATAACAGTCGGACGCTTTAGCCAACTAAGCCACAGGGGATAAGCTCGCTTGATAATAGTGAGCCGCTTATCGCTACCTAATAGGAAGTCATTTTCCCCAATATCTCATTTGAACAAACAGTCATCTCCATGAGTCTATCTATACGTAACTTGACTTATTTACAACGAGAAGGAATGTTAGAAGCAATAAAGTAAATTTATTATTTAGTTTTTTTCTTATTATAGTAAGTATAAAATTTATTTATAAAATACAGTTTAAGTATGGCTCCAGGCGCTTTGTAGTTTAAACTCTTAGTTTATATATTATCCTATAGTATTATAAAAGTTAAAGACTATTATAAGACTTCATCGTTCTCGAGCTCCTCTATTACATCATCTGCGTCTGATATGGCAAGATATGGCCATGATCCAGTTGTCAACTCCAGTTGTGACATTCGGTTCTGTATCTTGTGGAGAAAGCCAGAGTCTCTCCCTCCAACAGAGTGCAATACATGTTGAAGAGAGTACAAGATTTCCCCTGCCCCAACAAGCATACTACTTCCATGAGCTGAGAATGGGGTGCACGCAACGATATCAAGCATTGTATCTGCCAATCGGAATACTTTAAGCTCCTGTAATATCAAAGTCAATTTCAGCACAAGCCATCTATTTCCATTTGTCACTTACAATGCCATAGCCGTGGGTTGTGATAGCAGAATTTGTCACCATTGAAAAAAGCGAGAGCATCTTGTGGCCGATCTTGACTGGGAGGAAAAGAGAGAACGCTTCGTCATCTGGGTAACACGACATTGCAAAATGACGAGCCGTATACTCCCACAGAATGAGTCTGATCCATTGGCGGGTAACGAATAAGTCCACTCTTTGAGCTTCACGGGCAGCGTGGTCGTGTGCGTCTAGGCACAGAGCGGCTTGATATGATACAAGTTTTTGTCTCTCGAGGGGCTGCTGGTTTGAGGAAATTGTGGTCAAGTTACTCTCGAGATATGCAAAGAGTCTTGTGAGGGAGATGAACGCTTGCATTCGTTGTTCATCTGCCATGTCGTCTTGCGTGTCTGGGAAGACATCGATGACTTGGAGAACTGCTTGCAAACCATGCTGTGCCGAATACGTTCTGGGACAAAACGTCAGAAAACATGACAGAAAGTTCAAGGCCTAATGTACCTCTCCGTGATGAGAACAAGCCAGTATATGCGGAGTCGAAGTGACTGCTCCTGTTTAGTCAAATGGCAATACGTTTCGGGATAACCAAGTTGCATGAGCTGAACTTGCGTCACAGCTTCTCTTAGAAACAGGCCAGCAGTTCGTAGTTTATTGCCGTTGGAGTGGTAAACATGAAGAAAGAAAGGTATAAGTGCAGAAGCTAGACTGTAGCTTTCTCGGTAATCATAAAGTTCTCTTAGCTGAAGACACTCGGTAGCAAACTGAAGAGATGAAGGGGTGTTTCGTGGACCAGCATGTTCTGGTAGTCTTAGTTGAGCTATAGTGGCAGCACACAGAGCAGCCGCTAGAGCATGAGACTCATGGTCGTTGGGGTTATCTGAGATTTTGGTAAATAGGCGGTCGGGGTTGATGACCATCCAAATTGAAGATACCGGTCGTTTTGAGACTTGGAGGAAACGTTGATATTCGTGGAGTGGTAAGCGATAAGGTGGGAGAGGTACAGAGCTGGAAGGGTCGGAATTAGACTGATCGTCATCTTGAATGGTGCAAGGTTGCGTCTCCTTGATGCTCTGTTGAAATCTCTCGACTTTGTCTTTGGTTGTGCTTCGAGGTCCGCCCTTTGGCCCACGCTTCTTGCGGGTTCTCAAGGCGGTGCACTCGATGCCTCTGAGTCGACATTCGTGGCACGGTTTACCTTCTTCACATTTTACACGACGCAAAGCGCAACCGTCACAAGGATTTGCGTTTCTGAGTCTCGTTGTCATCATGATTGTGATTGGACATCGGGTTGATGAGTCA